TGAACCTGTTATCTAGTTGGACCAAACAAACAGCAGGAGACGCTTCATCCTTTATGTATCACCTTACTGTATGGAAGACAGCTTATTTTTAAGAGCAGTGAATTCTGTACGCTTTTGTTTCAGACCACACATTTAAGCTACAGCAAGACAGGGTGGAGCACAGCAGCTTTTAGGTCTGCACCTAGCAGCTGAAAGGGCAAACAGCCCTGATTCAGGGGGAAGATATCCAAACACCACTTCACTTTGCAACAACTAAAATACCATTCTTGCTGAGGTAATCACCCTATTAACCCGCATTGCCTCCAGCACACTGCATTATCAGAGCTTGAAATAACAGCAGGAAGAACAACAAAAATAGAAGAATACTGACAGTTCAACAGATATTTTGCATGTTACTTTGATGTCAACCGGTAGAAAGTGAAGAAGAAACTAAGGGTGCCTGAAGCAGTGCATTATACTAAGGCAATCTGAAAAAACCTAACTACCATAAATTTCAGCTGTATTGCAGAAGGGCTTGCTCACTCGTCAGCAGTTGTGTATGACGAGCTGTAATAAAAGAGCAAAAACTGTCCAAAGGTTATACATGACTAGCATCCTAATACTTCATTTGCATCCGTCTCCAGACTCAGAAGTCACATCAGACAGCAACAAACTGAACTTGGTATTTGCATATACCCAGCAGTGTCTTTAGTTAAACGGGAAAACCAAGGCACATGTGCTAGCTACTTTTCTAAGGTGGCATAAGATCTTCATGCTCTGTCATCAAGGTTGGGCAAGAGAAGATTGACAGCCCTGAACATGAATTAAGAGTTAATCATAAAGTCAGAAGAAGCAGTATATGCACAGTATGGATATGTATGACTCGCAAATAGTGGATTCACACACTCATCAGAAGTCAGATCAGTAAAGCATTAGAGAAATACTGCTCTGCACACATTAGTTTTACTCCAGCCTGCTGAGCAGTGGGATGAAGGATCAGCCCATGGCTGAGGAGGAGGCGAGTACTTGGATAACACAAGAGAGGAAGAAGGTGTTGCAGTTAAGAAGCGAGCTGCAGGACTTGCTCAAAACACCAGGATTTCTTTGTTTTGAAAGCAGACTGCCGAATCAGGAGAAAAGACAAAGGCCTAGCATACAGGGAGACCACAGGTGTACAAATGAACTTCAGCCAGTAGCAGACATTTTAAAACGAATGAACACAGGAATGGCACACACATTTTCTAGGACAGCTGCTCTTTTCCAGCCACCCCATACTGTGCAGGCAGGCCCACAGGCACAGCAGCACCATGGGGACACTTCTGTCTAAGTCAAGGGACATGTCAGAGCAGTGACCACTGTCACCCTGACAGTCAAACCACCTGCCGGGCCGTGGTCACAGGGCTGCAAGTGCAGCTGACCCAGACACATAACGAACACAAAGTGGCTTTGCTCCCATTGTGTTCTGTTCAGAAACCAGATAACACGTAGGGGTTTGTGTCACAGAAAAGCCCCCACTCCTCCTCTTCCTTGCTTGAGTACCAAACTGAGAGATAACAACTTGCAGCCGTTACAAAGGGCTTCTTGTGACCAAGTCACACAGCACCTCCTGCAACCTGGCCGCTCCCAGGCTGAGCAGAAGGGAGCCAAACAGGAGCGGGACGCTTGAGGAACGACGTGTTCAAGAGACAAAACTATTTTGCACACTTGCTACAAAGTTGTACTTCACCAAAATTTTAGAGAGCCAGTGTAAGCCTAGCTTTGCATTGATATAATTCTCAAACTGTAACCCAGAAGCCTTACAGTAAAGTATATAAAGTTTCATATTTACTGTAAAAATTCACTAGAGACTCTGGAGAGGAAAAAAAAACCAGTTTAAGATGTTATTTAATAACTTGATGCTATTGTGCAATGTCATTGAGAAGTAGAGTCATTTTTAGTCATTGGCTGTACAAACTAGTTGAATATTGCAGCACTAAAGAGTTGGGGGAGTGGCAGAACACAAAACAGAAGAGTCTGTTTTCTAAAAATCAATATGCTAAAGTAACAGTTGCTTCCAACTTATATGCTTATAAAAATAAAATGCCTTAGTCATCTGCACTCCACATTTAGTGCCTTTCGGTACAGAGAAGGCAGGGGTTTGATATTATAGAAAGTTACAAGGCTAAGAAAGTAATCCCTGAACATTTCAACAACTATAAAGTGTAGCAGTTTAAAAGCAAGAAAGAAGTGTTAATAATTTTAGTTATTTAAAGCTAAGAAATGTTCAGTCAGAACCGGACTTAACAGTACAAGCAAGCAGAGAACAGAGCCGAACTATGAAATAAAAGAAGGGCCTGGATGTTATATGTATTATTATTATAAGAGTTATATTACATTATAACTGTGTTTTCAAATAAGCCA